AAACCAGACCAAATATAGTTTAAAAACTTGAAAAAAGTTTTTTTTTTAAATAATAGATTGCTTGCCTAAACCAAATCCCCAGCCGATGTAGCGGCACTTCCTTATAGTAGCAGGGTATAAGCTGATATAGCAGCACTCCCAATAGTTGATATAGCAGCACTCCCTGGTAGCAGCAGGCTTTAAGATAGTCAATGTAGCAATACTAAGCAAATGTTTTAAAAATATGTTATTAAAAAACAAAAGCAAAATCACTATTAATTAAAAAACTTTCTAGTCATTATCATTGCGGTTTTTTAAAAAACAATAAAACTTAATGTACTTTGGCATTATTTTAATTGCTTTGACTGTAGCTTATTTGTTGAAGTCTTTAAAATGTTGGTGAAAGAGACTTTTTTTTTACCATAAAATCCTTATTCAACTACAAGATAAGAATGTTGTTATTTAAATTCTTAATACAAAAATAAAAAATTTTCATTAGAGGTGAAAGACTAAGGAAAATAATTGAGTTATCGTAAAACAATACTTACATTACATCACTAATGTTATTGTGCAATTATTAAGGAAGATTTCCTCAGAAACAAGCTCAAAATTTGTTGCATATATGCAACAAATACTATTAAAGTATTGTTGCAAACAAATACTATTAAGTTAAATTATATACAATTTTACAAAATACAAGTTAAATTATATACAAAATACTATTAAGCTGATGACTTACAGAAAATAAGTTAATTGCTTGAAAAAGTATCCAAATCCATATTAAGTTATTAATAAGTTCAGTTAAACCATGTGTGGCTATCAAGCAATAAAACTTGATGTGGTTTCTTTCAGCTTTGTCTAGCCAATTTAAGGGAGGATCTTCTTTAAAACCATACATGCAACCAGAAACAACTAACAAACTTAGCTATTTCATTCAACAACGGTCTTTGTTCAGGGATTAGAAAATTGCTTAGTAAGACATAAATTGTTCTGCTGTTCTGCCTTACGAAGTGAGAACATGGCAGTTTTGTCTGCAGCTCTAATTTGGGTAAAATATTGATATTCAATTACACAATGCATTCATATCATTGCTTTTTTGAAATAATTAACCTAAAAGTTTTCTTTAAAAATGTTTATTTATTTAAATGATGATAAATTTAAAGTTTACTATTTTTGACCAGAAAACATTGCTAACAATATTTACAATTACGATGAAAAAATGCGAAAATTTTTCCACCCTTTAAATATGTTCTATCTAATTACATTTGAAAAAAGGAAAGACTATAACATGTAATTATTACTAATTCTTTGAAGCTAATTATAGAAGCAATAAACAAGCAAAGATCTACCTCAGGTACAAAAAACATGAAATTTCTTCATAGCAATGCTAAACCTAATGTCACAAAAGCAGTCAAAACTTTCCTAGATCAAGCCGGATTCAATATAGTTTTATAGTTAATAAGTTAATAAAATAATAATAAAATATAAATATATTCTTTATTTTACTTTAATAAATGTTCAAATATTTTGAACATTTATTAAAGTAAAATAAAAAATATATTTATATTTTAAGTTTTTTATTTTTATTTTGGGGGGAGGGGGGTTGCACAAACTTTCCTGACGCCCTAAGTAAATAAATTTAATTTAAAACCATGTTAAAAATCATTTAAAGTTTTTATCTTTATAAAATATTTATAAATTTCTTTAAATTAAACAATTTTATTATAAAAACAATTATCAATAAGACTTAAATATGTTGTTCCTTTTTTAAAAAACTCATACTATTTAAACTTATACTATTTATCATCTATAAACTCATATTTATTTCTTAAAACATTTATAACGCAACATAATTGTCTTATGTTTGCTTTCTCACAATTTAGTTGTTGTTTTTTTTAAATGAAGGGGCAGTTGTTGAAGGGTAAATTGCCTGATGGTAAAAAAAAAACGACTACCAACAATTTTTTTTTTTAACATTTTGGCTTTAACAAAATCTTTCCCTAATACTCATAAATTAGTTAATCATTTTCAATTTATTACACAAGTTGATGACAACTAGTGATCAACTTCTAATCAACATTCTAAGATCAATACAAAAACTGATAATAAAAAAACTTTTGTTAAGAAACAATTTTAAAAAAATTCTCTAAAATAATTTTGTGCCTGTAGTTTTTTAAAGGTAACTATATTTTTTAATTTTCTATAATATTAAAAAGAGATAAAACTAAAAAGTATATTTAATATTCAAATATTTAATCACTTACATGCATGAAGCATTTTTAACTCGAACTTGTCTCAATCTTGGGCGTCCTAATATCTTATTTTCAAAATAAATATATCCTTTCATATTATCAGGTACTGGATCTCCATTATAAAAGTTTTCAAAATAAAGTCCACTCAATAAAGTAGTATTGATTGCATACTAAAAAAAAAATGTTCGTTATGAAAGTAGCAATAAAATCTACATTTAAAATGATTTATTATAATAGAAATTATAACTTTTTTTTTGAGTATTTGGATTGATTAAACAATTATTTTTGCTTTACTACAATTAGAGCTACTAAATAATGCCAGTAAAAAAGTATTATTATGACGTAGACATATTTGAAAATTGAATATTATGAGTATTATAATCACATTATGTGATACATATAATCAGTGCTTGATTATTTCTGTGTGTATGTGTGTGTTTATATATACAAATACAAATATATATATATATATATATATATATATATATATATATATATATATATATATATATATATATATATATATATATATATATATATATATATATATGTACATATATATATATATATATATATATATATATAATATATATATATATATTTATATATATATATATATACATATATATATATATATATATATATATATATATATATATATATATATATATATATATATATATATATATATATATATATATATGTACATATATATATATATATATATATATATATATATATATATATATATATATATATATATATATATATATATATATATATATATATATATATATATATATATATCTATATAGATATATATATATATATATATATATACATATATATATATATATATATATATATATATATATATATATATATATATATACATATATATATATATCTATACATATATATACATATATCTATACATATATATATATATATATATATATATATATATATATATACATATATGTACATATATATATATTTATATATACAAATACAAATATATATATATATATATATATATATATATATATATATATATATATATATATATATATATATATATATATATATATATATATATATATATATATATATGTACATATATATATATATATATATATATTTATATATATATATATATATATACATATATATATATATATATATATATATATATATATATATATATATATATATATATATATATGTACATATATATATATATATATATATATATATATATATATATATATATATATATATATATATATATCTATATAGATATATATATATATATATATATATATACATATATATATATATATATATATATATATATATATATATATATATATATATATATATATATATATATATATATATATATATATATATATATATATATATGTACATATATATATATATATATATCTATATCTATATATATATATATATATATATATATATATATATATATATATATATATATATATATATATATATATATATATATATATATATATATATATATATATATATATATATATATATATATATATATATATATATATATACATATATACATATATATATATATATATATATATATATATATATATATATATATATATATATATATATATATATATATATGTAGGATGATAAATGACAGAGACATTGCATATACAAAAAGAATGAAAAGATTTTTTCTCATGCCCCATGACTCAATAAACTAGATTCTTACAGAATAAATTGAAAAGCGGTTAACTTGTCAAAATTAAAAACTTTAGGATTTTAATAAACCCTTGATGGAGCTTAGTGATTAGACTACTAAAGTCTTTTTAAAGTGTCCATGATAATATATTGGTTTTATCTGATTGGGTGAGGCAAGGTTAATCATTTAAAATGAAAATAATAAACTAACTGGATTCAATGAAAATGAATATAAAATACTATAGCAGGGTGTGTCGATTTTGGATTTTTTTTTAAGAAAAAAATTGGGGAGTTACTAGAAGTTGCAGAATTTAATGGAGAATCCAAATATGGCTTTGAAATCTGAACTAAAAATTTTTTTTGCTAAGGTGATTTGACTTTTTATATTTCACTATAATTTTGATCTGATTTCTCAAAAAAAATGGCCTAACATTGAGTAATAATTTTATTGGTATTGAAATTAGAAATACAGTGAGATATTTTTTTTAAAAATGGAATAGTTTCAATAAATATTATGTTTAATAAAAAAAAGATTTGTGTCAAATTTTCAAGTTTTGTTTACTATTATTTTTAGGTTATTTTTTTTTAGTTAATTTAATTTTTTTCTGTTAATTGGCAACTTGATTGGTTGCTTGCAGCTTTATTGTTAACTTCTAACTTGATTGGTTGCTTGCAGCTTTATTGTTATTAAATTTGATAATGATAATTGATTCTACAAAGTGTGCATTAGGGTACATCAATTTTTTATAACTTTCTATTCGCCTCTTGAGTTTGGACAAATTCTTCTCTCTTTTCATAAGTGTACACTCTACTTGACATTTCTGTAACTTGCTATACGCAATGTTCAAAAGATTGTCCATGATATGGCTAAATCGACACCTTCATTGGATTTGATAAAAACACAATGATTACAGAAGATGTTAGTTAGTTAGGACTGGTTTATAAACTGGTGACGTCTAACAATTTTTCAGCATTAAAGTTCAGAAAAGGAGTTTTTCTTGGCCTATGAAAAGAATCACTTTTTTGTAAATCTTCGTTTTCAGTACCTCTAATATCTTTCATCTTATTAATAACTCACTTCTATCCTCTTCAGTATTAGACACAACAATGTTTGTAGTATACACTCACAGAAACAAAACCAAGATGATCTTTGAAAAGGTGATACTATTTTAAAGACATCTTCTTTTTAAAATTTGAGTTTCTGCAGCTGGTAAAGTACATGTTTACAGGCCTTGTTTTAAATAAAAAACGTCTTAGCCAATTAGCTTGTCGTGATTTTGACATCATAAAATTATCTTTTTTTTTTTGTTATTTAAGGACATTAACTTTTATAAACTAATGCAAGAAGAAAGTGCCTTAAGTCTAAAATATTAAATGTACGCTTAATGTTTTTTGTAAAAATTAAAAAGTAGGACGAAAAACCAAGAAAAAAAAAAAAACTAAATTTTTTTAAATTTAAATAACTTTTTTAATCTAAATTCTTTGTTAATTATAAGGAAATTTCTTTTTTTTTTTTTTTGATATTGCACAATCTGTTATTTATATAATGCCATATTGCTTCAAGCATAAATTCAAACAAAAAAATTAATAATAGAGTTATATCCAAAGTAAACTCTATAAGATGCCGTTTAAAGTTTGAAATAATGTTTTTTCATTTTTTTAATAAAATCAATCATTATAACAAAACAAACAAATCTAAAACATCAAAAGTGGTGCTAATATAAAAAAAATTTAATGTGTACTACTTTTTAGCTTTTTTTTATGCACCTCTAACATTTTTTTTTTCTTTTACTGAACATTTATGATGGAAAAGTTAGATTAATGAAAATAAAATTTTCTTTGTTTTTTCTTAAGTTTGTATTTTTATTTTTTAAACATCTTCCAACAAATCTGCAATAAACCACTATTAGAGTTGGAAGTTACTGGAAAATAAAAGGTGAAGTTTATAGAGCAAAATAATGATCAACAGTCAACTTGCAGCTGATGACTCATCAAGTACATTACCATTTATAAATATAGGAAGATCTAAATTATTGCAATAACGATTAGCTAAAAAAAATTGATTTTTATCAGAATAAAAGTTCACCAGCTACTGTGAGCCCCATGCTGTAGCAAAAGTGAGATTTGTTTCAAGCTCAAATGCCCCCTCAAAACAATCAGTGAGTGTTGGCTTTTTATTAAGACAAGAATGAATGGTATTATCATCAGCAAACAATGCCACCTTAGACATGAGAATATCTGGAAGATTGTTAATGTAAGTTAAAAAGAGTATAGGTCCAAGGATAGAACCTTGAGGAACCCTTGAAGTTACAGGATATGAAGAAGAGTTCTGTCCAAGGATACAATAACCTTAAATATGTTACCTAATACACCGTAAGAAGAATGGTTATGGAGAAGACCAGCATGCCAAACTTTAAAAAGCTTTAGAAATGTCAAGAGCGATAGTCAAAACCTATCCATCTCTATCTAATGCACATTAAAACCTATCGGTTATTACTGTTAGCAAATCAGCTGTTGAACAAGAAGATAGAAATCCATATTGATAATCAGAAAGTAAGTTATGCAATTTGATCAGAAATAACATCGAAAAGAGTGCAGTCTTGAGATGAAGGTAAGCAATATGGAACAAAATAAAAGGCAATAGAGTGAAGTGGTGCTAAACAAAAGCAATAAGTAAAAGAATAGGTGCTGGATTCAAACCTCGTTTTCTGACAAATCGGTGAATTCTTAAGAATGTAAATGTCTAGACCAAGCATGTGACTATTGGAGTCTTTATGACTTAAAGGAGGATAATCGTCATCACTAAGATCAAAAGATGAGACAGCTGAACTCAAATTAGTCTCATAAAGAGCAAGTAGGTCTGGTCAACATTGCAAGAGATAAGACTCAACAGAAGAAAAGTTACTTCAAAAACCACGAATATTAGTGAATGATAGGTTTAGAGAGCTTGGTGATGACGATGGTTTTTTGTGTTTTATAGTTTTTGGTAATTTTTTTAAATTTGTTAAAGAACTTGACTCAAATCATAGATAGTACTCAGTACACTATTTAATAGTCCAAGCAGTTGCCTCATTCATTCAGTTGCCTCATTACTATTAACAAATCCTAAGCTGTAACAAAGGGCTCCAAATGTGGCCTTGATGATGCACACCAAAAGTACAAACAGGGACACCCTCCATGCACAACATAGCCTGTTAGTACTCTGATATTTTACAGCTGTTGATGGAATCAGCCTCTCTGAAAGCTACCAAAGAGTTGAAAAAACCTGACTACCAGCCGGCCTCAGAACCATAAAACTGAGTTTTAGAGCTGTACTTTGATTAGGAGATAATCGAATGAGTTGTCTAGTCATAAAAAAAGAGACACAAGCTAAACTCATGCATTGTGTCAAGAAGATCCAGCATTTTAATATTAAATGTAATTGTCATGCAAACTTTATTACGTAATCGTCATTCAAAATTCATAAGTGGTTTTTATAACACTATTTACTTCTTTTATCTGACCGCCTAAATGATATCTGTAGATTTTATATTAAAAAATGACAAAATATGGCTAGCCTGAAATGGCTTATGACTTACATTAAATGGCTTAGTGCGTATATATATATGGCGCGCCAGCTTATGCTTATGCTTATGTGTTAAAACAAGGCTTATGCTTTAAAACAAGGCCTGATGTTTAGGACTTTTAATCCAAGAATGTTTAACTTTGATCTTAAACCAACAAGAAAAATAAAGACTCATAATATATTTGGTGATAGACCTTAAATTTTCTAAATATTTACCTTGAATTCCATGTTTAGAGATCCATATTCTACATATTCTGTTAGCAGTAGTTAACCATCTTAAATCTGAAAAAGGGCTAATTTGTAACAAATCAAATTTTGATGGTAAAATACCACTTCTAATGGCACAAACAACCGTATAACCATAAAATTGATCTACAGACAAGTCATTTATTATTTTATCATAAAGAGAAATAAGTGGATTACTAATTTTAATAGTTTCACAAATCCTGAATTTATATTTAGATCTGTAGCCAGATCAAGCATGGACCCAATAAAATCAGACCATTTATTATTAGACTTGTTTGACTATCTAAGTTGGTTATAAAATGCCTCAGTGGCAACTCATTTGTATGGAGGTGATATATAAGCCAAACAAGTTTTTTTCCTAATTTTATTTCTATATGTTTGATGACTACACCCTCCCAACTAGTGTTTATATTTGCAGAGTCTTCACTAACAGCCAATAAAGAATTGTCAATACCTCTCTCCGTTAACCATTTAACAATTTTATTTGCTATAATCTCTGCATGTTTAACACTTTTTGCTGCTTTCTCAGAAGTAAAGTTAAATTAATATTTTACAAAAAATACTGGAAATTTTGCATTTGAGCTATCAAATTCAATCATTTGTTTGGTTTGATCAATTTTCTCATCAAAAAATTGTGCATTTTACTTCTTCACTTTTTGTTATTTTGTCAAAAATCCTTACCAAGATCAGAGATTTTTTCTTGCGCACTAGAAACTTTACCATGGTCAATAACTAACTTTTTATCATCAGATGTTGTTAATTCTGCATCGATAAGTGTTGCTGTAGCAATTACAACACACTCTATACTTATGTGAGAAGAATTTATATATTTTAAATAAAAATCATTATTAACAAAGTTAATATATATATATATATATATATATATATATATATATATATATATATATATATATATATATATATATATATATATATATATATATATATATATATATATATATATATATATATAGATATGTATATATATATATATATATATATATATATATATATATATATATATATATATATATATATATATATATAATATATATATATATATATATATATATATATATATATATATATATATATATATATATGTATATATATATATATAGATATAGGCCCGTAGAAACAAAAATTATATAGGGAGGAAGGAGAAGGGGGCAGTGGATTAAAGGGCTCTGAAATAGTTTTACAGACCTTTTTTGTTAAGTCATTTTTTAGTCAAATTTTTTAAAATTATTTATTTGAAAAATTATTGGGGGGCAAATGTTACTGCTGCCTTCCCCCCTCCTTATATATATATACATATATATATATATATATATATATATATATATATATATATATATATATATATATATATATATATATATATATATATATATATATATATATATATATATATATATATATATATATATATATATATATAAATTATACCTTATGCTATTCATAGCTATGTGTGAAATATCTTAGTTATTATAACACTTTCTTTTTTTTCTGATGGTTTCACTAGCACTAGAGGTAATTCTAAATTGTAATGTCAGCATTGTCAACATTTAATCCTATTTCATTACTGAGATCACTTTCTTTTTGATAATTGATCTCATCTGACTCAATTTTTTTTTAATAAAAATAATATTGCTGTCTTTATTCTTAAAACATTTTTCTCAATCCTTTCTTAGTAATCTTTTGAACTGTTTCCTGGTTTCAATGTTACACGTAATCTAATTTGAAGCTTGCTAACAGTTTCAGTTTTAACTCTTTAAAAATATATACACTTAATGTCAATAGATGGTATATTGTACTCTTTGATACATTTGCACTTATAATGAACTTCTTTATCACTTTATTTACTTCTTATCTTCTCAATTATTAGAACAAATAAAATTAACACATTTTACAATTGAACATTTACATATCAAAAACATTATTAACTTTTCTTTTAAAATTTATTATTTATTTAGGTCCTTATTTTCTTGGACAAGTTTTTTTTTCTTGAACAAATTTTTTATTGCTAAATAATAAAAAATTTTATAACTTGGAGGAATAATGGCACTCAAAAGCAGAATGAATACTAGTATACAAATTAGTGTTATATTTGGTTGAGAAAAACAATTTCTAGTTTCATAATTACCAACCAACAGAGACGTTATAAGATATGAATTTTTATTACTAGAAGGCTTCGATGACATAAAAAAAGAAATTATTTGGTAAAAGAGACCTAAGATATACTACCAGCTTTGTTATACCAATAGTCGAGTGCAAATTCAGAGTTTACCTAAATTAATTACTGATAAAACAATTTGTGATAAAACAGTGACATTGTGGAACAAAGCTTCAGTAATAGGCTGGATAATTTCTTTTTTTTTATGTCATTGCAGCCTCTTAATAAAATTCGATATCTTATAACGTCTCTGTTGGTTGGCAATTCTGAAACTAGAAACTGAACCAAATGCAGCACTGATTTGTGTACTAATATTCATTCTGGTTTTGGGCGCCAATATTCCTCCAAGTTAAAATTTTTTTTCATTTTTAAGAAATAATTTTTTTTTTCAATATTGTAAAAATGAAAGCAATCAATTAAAAGTTCTTAAATTAATACTTAACAATATACAATTAACAGTTGTTTACTTATTACAGCTATACAAAATTTTTTAGTAAACCTTTTTGAAAAATTAAAAGTTATTTTACGCATTTATTACAAAATTTATTAAATAATTTTATACATATTGAGTTAAATAAATTTTTAATAAACTAAATGTAACTTTGTTTTGCTCTTTAAAAGTCTGTTTATTTTACGGACAATATTGTCCAGTAACGTTGCTATTCCATTTAATAGAAAACAAAAACTATTTATACTTTCAAAAAAAAGGCTAATCACCAAAGCAAATATTTGTCTAAATTAAAAAATTAAATTATATTTGGATTCTCCATAAAATTTCATAACTTATACTTATATTCCAAATTTTATTAAATAGTTTTTTTTTTAAAAAGTCTGAAATTGACACGCCCTAATGCTATAGCCTTTTCTTAGTTTACTACTTTTGATTTTATTGGTTGTTTTAAATATTTGTAGATGTAAATGGCCTGTTTGCAAGGTAAACCCGACATCTATATAAAAAGGGTCTAAAGCTGCCTTTAAAAAAAATTAATAAAATTTTTTTCTAATGGCGCTTTTATCAATAGAGTTGTATATAAAAACCATGTTTTCCAGAAGCATAACTAAATGTTTATGGAAAGTATAAAAATCTATCTAATAAAATTTTATGCTTTCCATAAACATTTTATTCAGAGGCTATGAAGCTAAAAATAAGCAAAACATACAATTAATACTCACAGCAAAAAAATCGCCCATATTTCCGACAGAATCAAATGTTGGAGGATTATTTGGATCACCACTAAAAAGATCTAAAGAAATGAATATTATAAACATAAAAATTTTAAATAAAAATAAAACAAAAAGTAAAAAGTAAAACAAACTAAAAACGTGAGAAAAAAATAATAGAAAAAAAATATATATTGAAATAGTATTGTAAAAATTATCAGTCATGATAAAATCAATAGTTTTTAATCTTAATATTAATAACTTACAATTTTATTTATAAACCTTACAGTAATTTAACAATTTATACCTTTCATTACTTTAGTGAAGTAAAACATTGTAGAGCTTGTCATACCAAATGTTACTAAAAAGAATATATATATATATATATATATATATATATATATATATATATATATATATATATATATATATATATATATATATATATATATATATATATATATATATATATATAGTATATATATATACATATATATATACATATATATATATATATATATATATATATATATATATATATATATATATATATATATATATATATATATATATATATATATATATATAATATATATATATATATATATATATATATATATATATATATATATATATATATATATATATATTTATATATATATATATATATATATCACTTAAGAATGAAAAAGAATTAAGAATTTCATTCTTTATTTAAATTGATTTTTAATTTATTAGTACAGCCAAGTAGGTTAGGGTTCTTAGCCACGAAAAGAGAACTTGAATAAAAAAAAACTCTGATATAACCCCTCTCCCCCAAATCAACTATTGATAAGGATGAGAGGAGCTCATAAACTTTTTTCCTAGAGGTGTTATCACATTAAAAAAACTAAGTCCTGATCTGCAATACTTATTAACGTTCTAAAGGGAATCTAGTTGTTAAAAACTGCTTTAACTCATTTATAATGTCATATTTAAATAAAAAATGACATCATGAAAACCTATACAAATGCCAGTGTGTATAGGTTTTCATGATGTCATTTTTTATTTAAATACCAGTTATTTAACTTATTGCATTCCACAAAAAAAAAACAATAGTAACAATAAAAATAAAGAACTTTAAAATGAAAATATGCAATTGTTTTTGAGTATCAGTTGTTCAAATTTTTGTTGATTCAGGAATTTTATGATGTAAGAAACCATTTTGGCATTTAATATTTTAATATTTTTAAAAATATAAAACCAATTAAATTTTTTTTGAGTTTAGTGACCTTTTTATATAACTTTTTTAAGTTTTTACAACTATATTCTATATACTATTGCCTTCAAAAAAGGCAAAGATCTGAAAAAAAAATCAATTGATCAGTGCCAACTTTTTAATTTTTTTAAATATTTCATTTTGACTGACCCATAGTATTTTAATAAAGAAAAGAAAATGTTTAAATCAAAATGTTTAAAGAAATAGCCATTTTTTAATCAATAGTCTATTTTTAAATCGAAGCACCGCTATTTTTATAAGTCATAGTTTTTATTGGCAAAACTCAATACTAATCCACACACTAAAATATTTTTAATTAAAGAATTAAAACTTTACTTACTTATGCACAAAATGAGAACAAAAACAAAATAAATTGCCAACTCTCTTAATGTGGTTTTCACAATCATTTCTCGATCTGTATAATCCTCTGTGTATCGTGTTTGCCATAATCCTACAATTAAAGTTAAAAAAGAATAATTAAGTGAACAGGATTAGGCCATATCTAAATTAATATTTTCTATAAAGATCAATTTAAATTTATTTAAAATTTGGGAGAAAATAAAACTAAAATGCTGCTCTCAACTAATGTAGATATAAATCAGTTAAAACCTTTTTTATAATTAAAATTTTTTTTATTAAGTCTAATAATAAAGTTTAAAATAATAAAATTTAATAAAGTCTAAAAAAGTTTTAGTTGGCAATTTTGGAAGTTCGGAGTCTAAGAAGTGATCTTATTCAACAATATAAGCTACACAAAGGCATTGAGCCTATTGATATGAAGAAAGTTCAAACACAAATGCATTCGATTAAAACATCAGGTCCAGCCTTCAGTATTATAGGTTACAAACACTGTGTTACATCTAAACTCATTAAAAATTGTTAAGTAGACAATAAATATATAATAATAATAATAATAAAATATATAATATAATGAAAATTATGAAAGAATTTTTTACCCTTCATCAAATAAAATATGTTAAATATGTCATACTACATTCAATTGAGTGTAAATAAGACTTGATTGAAAAAGTAGTTTTATTAGGCAGCAGCCGTATTCTCATCTCTCAGTTAAGGTTAACGGAGCTTTAGTAGAAAATTTCTTTTTAACTACATTAATAAAAAAAGTTCTATAAAAATTTTTTAAAAAATATTTTATTTTAGTATTAGTTTTGTTTCTAAAAATTTAAATGTTTTTGTCATTTCTTCACTTAGAAATATTGTAATTAAATTTCAGACAAAAGCTCCGTTTAGCTTAACGAAGAGATGAGAATACAGCTGCAGCTCATTTTTTGATAAATTATTTTTAATAATTCATTTTTAAAGTGCAAAATATTTTATAAACAACCATTGTTAAGATGAGGTTCAACATTGATACTAATATCTGATCTCATTCCCTAATTCAGAGAACTTAACAGAATTATAAAAGTTTATTCAAATCTCCTGTCTTGCATTTGTATACCCAGATAATATTATCAACTACTTCTTCTCATTATTACAGCAACCAAGGCAATATATTAATTTAAATTAAAAAAGTAAATGTTTTAGCAAAATAAAAGAAGAAATATTTATAGCTTTTTATTTTAACAATATTAATGTTGGTTTAGTTGTTAATTAAACTTTAAAAAGTTTCATGCTCTGAATAAATGAAACTAATACTTCTGATAGAGATTTTGTTTTCATTTTTTAAAGAATAATCTGCTGCAAGTGCAACCTCAATTTTTAAATCACCTGGTAGCTCTTCATATTCTTTCTGTGAACACAGTTTGTTAAATTTTTTTTGTTTAATGTAAATGGGATTAGCTCCTTTTTTCAAAATTTATTTTTACACTTGTATCATCAGTAATTGTTGATTCTTAGTCTGAATTGTCAGAATCAAACTTGAATAAAGAAGATCTTGACTTGATAAGTGAGTTTTCTTTCAATATAAACAACATTAAATTAAAATGTTTTTTCCTTCAATATGTAAAACTCTAAAATTTTAAACATCTTCACATAATTTTATATTAAATAAAAATCCACAAACCAAAACTATCCAAAAACAAATTGCTAAAATCAAAATTAAAATATATAAACTAACACTAAAAAGTACAGAAATACCTTCAAACACTCTATAACTTTCCATGAAAACAAATTGTTGTAAGTAATTAGAAACCATTTAAACTATATAAGTTAATGTTTATGAAACAACAATTTTTAACCAAGTGGATTCCTCAAAACTAATAGAAATACAACCTTCTTCTTCTTAAATCTTTCAAACTTCTTGCTTAAAAATGGTAATAGTTTTGCAATACTCTATCATAAATTGATCTATGACATTTTGTGGACTTTTTAGCAAGGGACAACCATCGTATTTAAATGTTCATCTAATCAGAACACTATTTCATTTGTTTATTTATCACCTCTTATCAATAGGAGGTTCTTAAGTTGGCATTCTGGTGACTAATATTCTTGCAGCAAAATTTAGTTTAAATCTTGTGCTTCGTTTGAAGATTACTATCTAGTAATAAGGATAGTAGATAAGGCCTCATCCATTTTTTTTTTTTTTTTTTTTTTTTTTTTGTTAAATATGACAATATTAATAAAAATTGACAATTATTAATAATTTTATGACAAACACTAATATTACTGCTACGTTTTTCAATCGGTTACAAATGGTAATAAGGTTACATTCTTTAATTTTTAACAAACTTAAATAATGTAAACTAAACATAAATATTGATAAATGCTTTTAATAACAAGCATTTACTGCTTGTTACTGCATAACAAGCAGTAAATGCTTGTTTTTTTATAGCTGTATTGCTAATTATCATCTTTTAATTTATTTTTATTGTAAAATGGTAAATGTCTCAATTGGTGACTTTGTCACACAAAAAAAAAACAAAGTTTCAATTAGCAACAATAAGTCTTCAATTGTTTTTTTTTGTTGTTGTTGTTGTTGTCTTTAACTTGTTAATGCGTAACCAATTGAGACGTAACGTTACGTAACTAAATTTAGATTTGGACGTAACTAACCCCTATAACATTTTAAAGTTACGTTACATCTCAATCGGTTACAATTGGTAACAAGGTTACATTCTCTACTTTTTATTCAACTATTAAGTAAATAAACTTGAAAATGCAGTAAATGTTTGTTCATTATTGCCGTATTGCTAAATACTATCTTTTATTGTATTTTTATTGTAAAATAGCTTCGTCTCAATTCGTTACTTTGTCACGAAAAAACAAAAAGTCTCAATTCGTAACATTACGTCTTAATTGGTTTTTTTTAAAACTTTTTAAAGAGTAATTAGTTGAGACGTTACGTAACGTAACAAAATCTGGATTTGAGACGTAACTAAAATACGTCTCAAACATAAATTTTTTTAACGTTACGTTACGTCTAAATTCGTTACACTCTTACAAGTTTAAAATAGACGTAAGGTAACGTAAAAAAAAAATTATATTTGTGACGTGTTATAATTGAGGAATAATTTTTTATTTTTATACGTAACAAGTCGTTTCCATGGGTTACAGTAATAATATTTAAAATAAGGAATTAGATTGCTTGTGGGTATTTTTTTTAAAAAAAAGACTGCATTGAATTCAATGCATTTATAACTGTTAATAAAAAGAATTTGTTAAATAACGTAAACCATTAATGAAATATGGTATTCAACAATGCGTTCGTCGAGACATTAGTAACTAAAAAAAATTTCAGAAAAATATTTTTTAGTTAAAAAATTCAATTCGCAAAGTTGCAATTCATTAATTACAACCTCGCGAACAGAAACGTTTTTTCGTGAAAAATTTGTTATAAAAAAAATTAGAAGTAATTTTTTGCACACTGATAAAAGTTAAAATAAATACCAGTATGGCTTTTTTTCAACTTATATAGACGTATTTTAATTGCGTCTAATATTTAAATCATTTAACGTTACATTACGTTTTATTTGGTCAAAAGCTATTAAATTTATAAGTTTAAAAAATAATCTTTTATAAATAAAACTCACAAGCAATCTAATCTATTTAATTCTTTTTTTAAACATAGGTTTCGATATAAATTCATATTATTATAAAATAATTAAATTAGATTGCTAGTGGGTTCGATTTAAAAAGAAACCTTTTAAATCTTACTAACGAAGTAAATCGTTGATATATCCGTAAACGGTATATAAAAACATTTTTATTATTAAGTTTTCTTTACAACTTTTCTGATTATAACTTAGACTTCACTGCAGTAGAAAACAATTTTTTGAGGTACATGAAACAATACACAGTTGATGTATAAACAGTCCATTGCGCCTGTACCTATTTTAGTCAGTCGATGTATGGACAATCTTTGCGCTTTTCCCTATTTAAATCAGTCGATTCGTTTTAAATCAAATTTATTCATTAATAAATATTGACTTAAATGTAAATACATAACAATTTTGTATAAGGAAATTTACTCGAATAAACTTTAAACAATTTAACTTGAAACTTTTGGCAAAAATGTAATAAAAAGTATAAACGGAGCGGATCCGGTTTTTTCCTAGTTTGCTATATAACGACAATCATTCTGGCTTAAATATTAATACAACTCTCATTAGATTAAACATTATACATTATTCACCGGGTTATTTTACTTTGCACGTTTTAGAATTAGAAATTAATCACCATCCACGTTTTCCAAGTTAAAACTAACTACCTCGTTTTTCTTTTATCACCTTATATTATCTTATATATTTCGTATTAACTGGTTATTCGTACAAAATGTACGAATGAAATGTACACAGATTATATTACTATGTTATTATTTTTTTTCCTTATAACAAACTTCTGAATTAAAGGCATTTTTCTGAACGTCATCAATAAACTTTATATGAAATAAAAAATGTATATGAGGAGGGGGGGAGGGTTGTTAGGTGCGAACAACCCCCTTTGTTTGCAAACTCTATTTCACACAAGTTTTATATGTAAAATCTAAAAACAATTATATTTGCTATTCTAATCTTTTTTTTTTCTAAAAACTTTCACGTTACGGTGAAATAGTATTAACGTTAACTTCAATTTTTTTTTACAAATTTTTTTATTTAATCAGCTTAACACTACTTGTGTTTTTATTACCCCACAAGCAAAAATGTGTATATAATGTCAAGTTTGTAAGATATTAAGTTTTTATTATTATAACAAATGTTGAAAGGTAAAATTACGGTTAGTATCAAGTGAATTAAAATATGTTATACTATTAGTTTGATTGTTACTAATTGCTAATTTTTTCATTTTACCAGTGTTAGTCCACTCCTCGCTATATATATATGAGGCTATATATATATGAGGCTTACCCTCCCAGCTAAGTTGCTTAGGCTGTAGGACTATGTCTTGAAAATAATGTTAACAACAAATAAACAAATCTCTTATGATTACGGGAACACTTATAAAATTAACGCATAAATCAACCAATTGGTTGCAACTAGTAAATTAAAATGGCGC